ACCTAGCTGCCGATAAACTGGTCTTAAAGCTAGAACAGAGACGGTCAGTAGTGCGCAAATGACAAATAGAGCATTATTTTTGAAAAAACAAAATGTTATAAGAACATCGCGAGATATACACATTCCTTTCCGTCTCCTGAAAATCCTTGCTTGCATCTGCATTGGTATGAACCTATGGTATTGTAGCAAGTAGCATCAGCACTACAGTATGGCGCCGCTGAAGAGTATTCGTTAATATCTGAAAAAAGACAAACGTTAAAAACAGTCTTGGCCTATAAATAATGGTAATTAAACTGAGTGGATTACACTTTGGTGTGAAATCTTACGCGCGTTTCCAAAATCGAACGAGCGCGCAGCGCGAGTAGGATTTGAAATTTCAGACCAACATTGCACGTTCCGAAATTCAATTGCCACTCGTTCGAGCGTAACAAAGGAAAAACACGTTCCACCTCAAGAAGTTCATTTTCTCAAGTCATAGCCAGAGCGGAACAGTCCACTTGAATGTTCAATTTTCGTCCTCTGACTCAATGGTGTGAGCCTTTCGTTTCTTCTGTGGTTCTGGTTGAGACTTCCGTTGACGTCTTTGGAGTAGAAATTCGATTGAACGTGCAACCTGTGTAATTCGGTGATCAAACAAGGCTACCAGAAGAAGTGAAGGCTGCAATGCGGTACTGAAACTGCGAGGGAAAACCTGGTGAAAATTTCGAAAATCCGGCTGGCTGAAAACTAGGATTGAAGCCCATTGCCTGATGTATTTGACCTTGCTGTTGGACATGACGAATATCACGTGAATATGACTGCAAGCACTTGATTTGAGGCTCCATTTGTACTGGTTTAGTTGGATAAATCGTTTGGAGTATTTTGGTTTTGCAGTTATTTTCATGAATTCTCGTCAATTTCACCGTAATTAATGGCCTAACGAAGATTAACGGGCATGACCAGTTATTTCACGCGACGTGGACCAGAACCCTTCAGTTTTCATTCAGACACCAATGTTTTCCTCATTCAGTGGTTCGTCAACTTCTTATTTGTCTTGATCTCCTGATATTGCCGATATTCGATTCGATTCGACATTTGTTGACTAACGACGATTTATGACGCTCGGATAAAGGAGGGTGGTAAA